TCGCCTACGATCACTTCAACCCCTCAGCGTTTCCTGGTTGGTGGGGGAAGCAATAAAAAATAGTAATTTTCAATCAGCAGTTAATTCTTAGACTACGACTTTTTTGAAACTAATTTATCGATGTGTTTTGTGTAGCAACTGTCACTCCTTGTAGCAACTAATTACTAATTATCTATAGAAATTTGGCTGACGTATGCTGACTTGACCTCGGTTTTTTGATCCACGGGCTATACGCGGCCCTCCTTATGTGATCAGATTGAAATGGTTTTGATTTGAGCGAAAAAAGGCAGATTCGGTAAAGCGAGGTTCGATTAGAGCAATGAATTTTTTCGGAACTTCCAATTTGGCATTTTTTTCTTCTTTATTTAGATCTTAGAATAGCAGCTGTCGAAACACAGATTTTCGCCGTCCGAATTTTCCAACTTCCAAGCTCTATACCTGAGTTCAGCTCCAATTTTGAAGAACATGACAACTAAGATTTTGTAGAGCGGGAAAAGTACTTTCAAATAATATGGGCCGCTTTTCGGTTAATACTTGTACTGAATTAATTTGTGCGCTCGAAAAAAAAACGCTACGATATTATGCTCCAACCCAATAAAATTGACCCAAACTGTATAAAATTCTAGCCAATCTGATCTTTCTGCTTTACTCCAATGTGTTGAAAAAAAAGATTAGCGAAATTCAAACGAGTTGTAATTTTTGTATTTCTTGAAAGCAAAATGCTTTAGTATTTTTCATCATCTGAATTTTTAAAAAAGTGGATATATATTCTTTTTCGACCCCAACCGAAACAAAAACACATGGTTCTTTGGCTATTATTTTTGAGCTTGATAGAGTAGTAGGCAATCTAGTGAAACGAAGGAAGCAACGTTAATGCGTTCTATTCTCGGTTCCCCTTTCTACATAACAAGGAGGTCGTTCAGGGTTTTGTGCCGAGCTTTTCAACAAAACGATTTCTTACATGATATGGGGCACATCATGCGGGAACCACAGAACCATGGTTAATTTTTCCTGAACGGCCCTCTGAATACCAGAAAAAGGGGGTCCCTAGTCACACCTTTTTCACCAGTTTTTCAATCAAAAGTCTATTTGTAAGGGTTACTGACGGTCCTAATCATGAATATGGTACTAATTATTCATGCTAACTCCATTTTGCGCGAATTTTGAAACGTCAACTCGAAATGCAAAAATTTGTCACCACGAGGAATCGAACTAGGGACCCTTTTCTGGTATTCAGAGGGCTCGTTCAGGAAAAATGAAACTTCTGTGGTATACCCATATGTGCCCCAATGCAAAGAAACCATTTTGAAAAAGCTTGGCACACCCTGAACGACCTCCTTGTAAGGTTGACCAAGTGAGTGAAAACAGCCGAATAAATGCAGCTTCTTGAGTTTAATTTGTTTTTTTTTTATTTTTTGTTTTTTAGTTTATGGTTTGAATTTTTTGAGTTTTTTTTATTCCGAGCACTTCTCGCCTCAAAAGCGTTACGCCCACTAGTGTAGTTAGGTGGCTTGGGTGAGCTGTTTGCTTCTAGGCTTTTTATTTTGGAAGATCATTTCCTGCTAGCGGCTATATCTTCTGAAACGCTTATAAGTGAGTGTACTTGTCAATCAAAGGCGCTTATTCTTGTTGGCATGATGGCAGCTATCAGGGTTAACACGTCCGAATCAACTTTTTATTTGTCGCCGCTCATCCATGGTCCAAAATGAACTGATAGTTAGGGGTGTACTACTTTGCGTATTCTTGACGGATTTTTCTTTTTATGTCATTAGCGTACCATTGAGCACAACCACGTCCCATCTGAACCCCTCCAGAATCTGTCATAATCGCTGCCTAAAACAAAAACTGGAGCTAAGAATCGAGTGGTTTGTCACCAATGGTGCATTGGAGCGGAATCAATAGTCGGTCTATACAAAAATTGAGCTGAAAGCTATGCGATGGAATCTTCTACAGAGCCGCTGTCCCTGGTTCTGACATCTTATAATGGGTTCTTCTGAATATTCGAAACTTCTAGAACTCGTCTTTTGAGCCACTAACATTGACCAGCGACCTGCGCTAGGAACTGTTTTGATAACTTGACTAAAAATCCCGTATCGTATGAGATATCGCCTCCACAGCAAAGAGTATAGAGTTACTCTTAGCACAGTTAATCTTCATAGGGGCGCACTGAGTTTAAAATGTTTGCCAAATTGTGGTAGGACGTTTGACCACGGGTGCTACATATGTATACTAATACTAGAGAAAGGCCTGGAGGCTGAGTTCATGGTGAAAAGGCAGCCCATAAGAAGCCAAGAGGAGGTGGTTAGTGATGCAGGGAGGGAGAAAAATACCAAGAAAAACGGTCTAGAGCCCGGAAAAATGGGAACCCTTTCTGCTCGTTAATTTCCGCATTGGCGTGACTCTCGTCGGTGCTCTCTTCTTCAAGCTAACGCTCTCTCTGACGGCAAGAGTCAGACAGCAAAGCTACCTATTGGAGGGCGTGCAGAGGCACGAGCGCTACGGGTACGGCCCTGCTAGTCCTGCTAGGCCGCACGGGCATATACTCTTTCCACTTGGTATGTTTCCCCTTCTTCAACCTCGGATTATACCGAGGATCTTCTTTTGAGAACCTCTCTTTTCGAAATGCGACTCACCCCTCTCCTCTCTCCGCTCAAAATTGCCCAGCGCATGGTTCGCTTCAGTCGTAAGAGTTTGATGGATATGTAGCTATTTGCAAATCGTTACACATACTAGCTGAGTCGAAATTTTGACTATGGCATCGAAAACGTGGGTTAGCCTAGCGTAGTACCATCAGAGTCCTTCTAAGATGGTCCCGCGTTCTCGAAAATACCAATTTATCACTTGCCGCTTTTAAAATCTGATGACCTTCTCCATAGCCTCTTCAGAAGATATGAAAAGGCAGTTTGTAATCATCGTGTCACGTTGCATCAAAAGGTTCTTGAAACACGTTTCGCATGACCACTTCAGGTGATGTATGCTGCAGGTTATGGACTGCCCGTATAACCGGTTCAACAAAGTATGGCGGGCGGTGGACCCGTTCCACAACACCAGTCAGTACTACGAGAAACAATTTTATCAAAAACAACAACGTATTACACGCGAACACAACGAAATCGTATCACCGAGGACAAAAAAAAACAAGGCAATAGAGATTGCAGAGAGGTAGGCGAGGGTCGGGCGCACGGGCCACGAGGTCCAAGATATCTGAAAAGTAAAAAACTCCGAACCCCCCTCCTGGGCTCTTCCCGCCAGGTCCCGCCAGATCGTCAACAAGGGGGTTTCGCGCCCGCACCGGCGTTTGACTGGCAAACCTCGTTTGACCCACATGCCGCATACGACCATCTTTCAGGTGAGGTATGGGTCTGTTAGGTAACGGTTTCCGATAGTTTTCCTCAGAGGCACCACTGCAATACCCATTTCTCATTTCGTACCAGAAAGGCTGGTAGTACGTCAGTAATCAAGGAGTCGCGTCACACTGCCCCCGAGGGGTGTCCCATTTGCGGTGGCTTATGACTGACTACGCGTCATCAGCAGCCCATGAATCGCCTCGCAGCTCTTTTTTTGCTATTCCGTGCGGAGGATAGAGCTATTTTCGACTCGATCGCAAGATGCCCGCTAATCAAATGCGATTTCTCGGGGTTCGAGTGAAGTGCCTTTTTGAATGGCATTCTTCACTTTGACGCAACTGCTAGTCAGCTAATTTTCACACCTCCATCATTAAAGGCGAAAATGGACGTCTCGTTAGATGAGGGGCTCGATTGGCTCAGAGATTTGCCTCTGTCAAGACATGAGCAATTCAAACCCACAGAGGAGTAGAAACAAGAGTTCACATATTATGGATCACCTAGCTTAGAAAGAATTGAACCTAATTGAGTTCGAACCGTTGCAGCGATCCTGCATCGTGAAAGGTTGGGACTGGGTCAGCCGTGACTTGCACAAATCTCAAGAAGCGGGTTCGCATTTCATTTTTTCGGAGGGAGGAGTTGCATAAGTGGTCGGTGAAGGTAAAAAGATTCAAAAAAGGGGGATCGTATTCGTGGAAGTTTAAGGAGGCGTGATCGCGGTCGAATTCAGCCTTCAAGGGTTTTCGGATAATTTTAGTGGAGATTAAAAAAGTAAGCATGGAATGGTCGAAATCAGAGGGTATGCTGTTTCAGACAAATTAACCTCCTCCCTCTCGACTGCGCTTTGGAGAAATGGGCGGAGTTGGCCTGCGGTCTCACAGTCACATGCTATAGAATTAATGGTGATGAGGGTGGTGGTCGAGGATAGGGAAAGGGGGTCGTATTAGGGGACTCTCCCAATGCTGAGTGGAGGAGTATCGAGACCCCTTCAAAGGAGGGGTCCTAAAAATCATGGCAATTGGAACAGCGGACGATTGACTTTGATTGGGACTCGCTTAGAAAAACTAATCTTTTCATGTCATCGAGTCCGATCAATTGACAACAGGCTTTGTTCAAGGTGACGGAAAGCCTTTCCGTGAATATTGCATAAATTGTTCTATAAATTACAATATAAATTTGTTTGATGCTAAGTGATTTTATTTTGAGAAAAACAGAATAAAAACAGAATTTAAGTGCGGAACACTGGCCCTTCAAAAAAAAAACGTTCCGAAGGTTGAAAAGGGCCGTGACGTAAACATTTTATTCGCTTCTATCTTTGCTTTCTATTCCACAGTAAACTCCAGTTTGGGATGGGGAGGGGGGACTCCATTGTGTTTTCCAATATCAAGGACAAGGCCAGGAGTTTTTCTGATAAGCTGATAAGTACCGGTGTAGTGTGGAAGTACGCCTAAGGTGCTTTCAGATTTGGGCCTGCTGTGGTCCAAGGAAATGGTCTTGACTAGGGTATGGAGATTTTAACTCAAAGTTAGTGTCAGTTCCAGTAAGTACAGTGCCATTCTTACTTTTCGGCTCTTGATTTGGGGAAAGCTTCCTGCCTGAACGACTTTCTTTCGTTTGTATTCTCTTGTTGTCATTTTTCTTTCTATAACGTGTCCACTAATCACGGGTTTTTATAGCTGGTTATTTTTGTTTCTGTTCATTCCTTTTTATTTGTTCTTTTCTGAATCTGCATTAACAATTTTGCGTGCAGCCAAATGTTTCACTAAGGGCGTCATTGAACGCACAGATGATCCTTAAAGGATATACAGGGTGGCTACTAAATATTGGCGCATGGTTTATTGATCATATTTCCAAAAAGAGAAGCTATCATATCTTCAGAAGTTTATTTTCATATACAATAAAACATGAAAATTTATTACCAAAGAAAGTGCTCGAGATGGCCTCCTTTGGTAGCGATACAGGCTTGAAGTCTCTTTTCAACTGACATCACCGTGGGCCGCAAGTAGCTGACGTCGGCGTGACGTGAGTAGATCTTCAGACCAGAAAAGGCGCACGATTTGCAAAACGACAGCAGTTGTTGGATCTGGCTAGCAGACATTCTGCTCGACCTTGTGTACACACAAGGAACGTTTTTCAAAATTTGTCATGGTTTGGGCAGGACTTACTTCTGTAAAACCATGACACTGCTTGTCTTTGTGGATGAATACATCAGAGCCAGCGCCAGTATAGCGAAGGAAGCAATTTTCCACATGATGCCCTTCTTTCAAGGACTCCTTTTGACCTTCAGCGAACGTCATTGCATTCTTCAGCAAGACAGGGCGCCTCCACATGCCGCAAAATCAATGTTGGAGAACTGTGACCGTCATTTTCCAAGTTACCAGGCACAAAATGTTTGGCCATCTAAGTCGCCCGATTTGAACCAATTGATTTGGCGGTGTGGGGCTTCTTGAAGCAGAAGATGCCTTCTGAGCAACGTCGAAGTTTGGACTCCCTGAAGGCTTCCTTGGAGGAGGCGTGGAAGGAGCTTGACGTCAGCTACTTGCGGCCCACAGTGATGTCAGTTGAGAAGAGATTTGAAGCCTGTATCGCTTCCGAAGAAGGCCATTTCGAGCACTTTCTTCAGCGATGTACTGCCATGTTATAAGGTATATAAAGATAAACCTCTGAAGATGTAAAAGCTTCTCGTTTTCAAAATATGGTCAACAATCCATGCGCCAATATTTAGTAGCCACCCTGTATACATCTTGCTAAGGGCATAGGTGTGGCTGCCCCAGGGTGAATGATCACATGCCATAAATGGCCAATGATGGAGCAGGATGTGTGTGATGTAGGTCATACAAAGGTCCTCTATCAATAGTGCACCAAAAATCAGTCATCTACCTATTATAGTTGTAAAGCCCAAAGAGTGCTTTCTGGTACTACGATAAGACAGCAGGAAGTGCCCCTCCCCTCCGAACTGAAGTTTCACCCTATTTCCATTTTCTCCATCTTATCCACATACCTTCTTCCTTTCTTCCAACATTTGATCATGTTGATCCTATCGCCAAAAGCCCTGTGAAACCAGTGTCCTGATTTCGAATCGAAGAATTGTTGCTGCGCTACGAAATCGCTATTCAATTTGTTATTAGAGGCAAGGGTTGCGATCGAAGCATCTGGCAAATTTCTTCTCAAGAGAGGTTCCACAGTTCTCAAGCACAGAATTCGTGGCAGGAAAGCGCTATTTGGCTACCTTCTTTGCACGTCTTGTTACATTTCAAAGCTTTCAGTCCAATCATGACCCTGAAAAGTTGACGGCATTGTGACACTCTTGCGCGTCCCACCAATGTCATTCGTTCTGGGCGACTGATGCGACTTCTTCCCGAGTTGTTTACAATTAATTTACAGTAAAACCATAACACAATTAAAAATGAGGAGTCGCGGTGTGGCCACATTTGCCTCAGTTGGCCCGACGGTTTTAAGGAGTCAAAGGATGAGCCACTGAAGCAGCAGGAAGACTGAAACTCATTTCAAGAGCTCATTGCATGGCAATTGCATTAGACGCCCGTCGTAGAAGTGCTGTGTGGTTCCTTAACTATTTTCGGGGTGGGAAAGTGTCAGAGAAAACTGAACGCCTTCCATTTTCTGAGGGCTACTGCGTCAGTTTGCCATTGCACAGTGTAGCACTGAAGCGAGGAAGGTGGAAAGGGATGGCAAGTGCGGGTTCCCGCCCCTTTGTTGCAGTTTATCGACCCGGACAAAAAAGAGATGAACAATACCATATGGGGACCCTCTGAAAAGCAGTAGTCGCACCCAGCACCTTACTTTTTTGCAATGCACAACAAGGATACTTGTCGTTGCAGTCGAGGACAAGTCCATAGAAACCTTCACATTTTTCCTAATTCTTGAATAGTCAATCAACTGACGTGTTCCGATTGCTCAGCGGATCCATAATGTTTCAACGATAGCGATGAAGCATGGTACTAGTACTCATCAGCTTTATGGTCCGGAAACATGTTGCTCATTCCGTAGACGTAACATCTCGTACGCCGCTTTCGTGAGCCGGAGCACTCCACTTGGTTAATTCCAGGGTTCAGCGACCACGAGGCCTCTTCTTGATCAACGGTTCATTCCGTTCGTGCAAATCCCTCACGAAGTCTGACGTCGGGCCGGCGATCCTTCAACATCTCGGTCGCTTCAGCACGACAATCATCACAAAACTCTCTAGCTTTTCCAGAACACTTAATCGTAGCGTAATTCTGGCCACATACTCAACCTTCTAGTTCAAAGTGGGAAGTCTCTGAGCTCTAATTGAAGAACGGACACGAAGGCGAACGTTATTCGTCTTCGTCACGGCTCTCTCGATGTTCTTGTAATATCCTCTCGATGGCGCTCGTTCCTCCTGCTCAGCTAGGGAACTAGGTTTGATTGCACGGATTATCCCACCTAAGTACACATCCAGAGATTCTCCTTCCGGGCATGAACAGGACATCGAGAACCAATCCGTTTCTTGTAAACATCGTCTTCATTAGGTGCAGCTGCGGGCCCTTCCACACGCGCATACAAAATCAGCAAGCCTTCTCTGTGCCAGCTGGATGTCAGTTTAAGTAAACGCGATGTTGTCAGTAAAGCAGATGGGGAGTGAGACCGCTGAGCTTCACCCCCATATCTACTCATCTTACGCTAAATGACGTACTCGATTGCTGATTAGCTTGGACGGGAAGTGCCGTCCTGTCTAACTCTTCAGCAGACCTGACCCGAGGTTACTGTCGCGCGGCGTGAGGGCAGAGAAGAGGACTCCAGCGAGCGATTCACAGCGCGTACTGCAATGATTCCGCAATTTTGCATAGAATGAACTATAGTACGTTTCAAATCACACAACACGCGCTCGGGGCAGGGTCAACCCTACGTTGGTACAAGTACCAGCGGGGGAGGTGTGTCGTACGCTGGTGAGGTTTGTAGGAGGGGAGGAGGGGTGGCGTGACCACTTTAGTCGCTCGAAATTACGTTGATTCTGGATTGACCGCACCACGGCGATTTTTGGAGCGAAAAAAGTGGGGCGGTTTTGATGCGAAAAGGGATGGTGGAAGTGTGGATAAGGGTTTGAGGGGCGTATCAAATCCACGACTGGTCGGCTGGGGGGAGGGGCGTCGTAAAATTTTTCGAAGTACAACGATAGACTGACCCTGGCGGGCCTGCAGTGCTTCTCCTCGGTACCAGGGCACCAAGCTGTATCGTCATTGAGCCTTAAGGTAACCATTGGTTGGAACCTTGGCTCGGGCTTTATGTATTATCGTTTGGCTTTACTGGAGCCGATGATTAGGCCTTTAGGGATGGTCATGTCCTCGACGCGTTGCTGGCTGATGTCTCCATATTAGGTGACCTCCTGACCTGAGGAGGAGAACTGCAACGCACCCCACGCGTTCGACTCGTTCTCTGACTCGTCTGCGTCTCTGCCTTCTCGCTGCCTGGCGGACCTCTTGTCAGGCACCCAGCTCTTCATAGAGACTTGATTTTACGTAGAATGGTTGAGGCTGTTGCAGAGCTCATAGCGAATTCCTCGAGTAACTAGGTATAGCAATCAGAGCCAATGACTGGCCCGGTGTTGTGATACGAGCACGAAGTCTTCTTAGGTGTTCTTGAGCTTCCACATTTCACATAGAAGAACTGAATGACATTCTCAAGGCTATCAAGAGAGATTTGCTCAAAGCAATAGCTAGCTTACTAAGAATAATGCGCAAAGATATCGAAAAATCAACCTTTGGCCGTTTTCGCAAATAGCCCAGAGTTAGCCTCAATCTGCTGCGCTGCCACGTTTTAGTTTGGAGTTATACAAATCTAGAGAATCCGGAATTATGTGATGAGTATTGATAGTACGGGCAATGGTTATATCCCTTTGCAGGGAGATTAAAGTTGATGGGCTGGGAGTATTCCTATATAACCTTAGATCCCACGTGCTGACATTTGGCAAACGCAAGCCATTGCAGTGAAATTACACAAAGTGTAAAAAGCTCAGAGAACCAATAATAAAGCCGGTGAAACATGCTGTGTATAAGTTTTAGTCACCACATTACCGTTTTTAGCGCTTACTTTCTTCAGGTTTCCCAAGGCGGGCAGCGCCTACACCTACGCATATGTAGGCGTCGGCGAGCTATGGGCCTTTGTTATCGGTTGGAATATCATACTGGAACACATGCTGGGAGCCGCAGGTTTTCTTGTATCAACCTTTTCGAAGTAAACGTTGAAGGATAATCATATTTCAGCGGTAGCCCGCTCATGGTCCGGATATTTGGATTCACTGTTAGGAAACGTCATCTCAAACACTACAATTGAACGAGTCGGTCGCATTGAGGTGCTACCATAAGAACTTTGACTGCAATATCGTAACAACTCTATTGCAAGGCCATTATTTCAGAACTCGTCCTTTTTTGGTGACTACCCGGACGTTGTTGCATTTCTGCTGATTGTCGTTGTTGGCATTTTCGTCGCCCTCGGCTCAAAAGTCTCAACAAACTTCAATTCCGTCTTCACCATTGTAAACATGGCGGGAGTATCCAGTCAGAGATGTTCTTTGTCTCGAATCGCGATTTAACGAGCCGCTGAAGGATTTCGGATCGACGTAGTTTCAAAGGACACTTGTTTTGGCGCCGAGTTTAGAGCCAATTTGTGTACCGAAGTCCCTTGATGGCAATGTATTTCTTGGGATCATGTAGGAGATGCTATATGCAAAAGCCTTGGATTAAATTTCGGAACTGATTACCCTTTTACTTGCCCCACTCCTCGAGAACTGAGCCGGGGTTTTTTATGCGAAATTTGCCCAATGCGCGAGCTGTTGGCGAGGGATTCGGCTTAGAACGTGCACTTCAAGAGGTAATTTGACCGTCTAGAATACCGAAGTATCACATTCCTCAATGTAGGAACGCCGCCTCGCCGCCAGCAGCACCGGCGCCGAAAAAGGCACAAGACGATCGTTGGATTCACGAAATTCGTGGAATCTGTTTTCGCACGATACTTCGACCTGGAGCCTATCTACGCGACGGGCGCGCGCGCAAAAATTGTTGTGATAACGCCGGCGCCTGTGGCGCGGGCGCCAAGCGTTGTCGCGCTAAACCGATGTGATATTCGTGTTCTACGGGTCGAAATACCCTGAAAACAACTTTCTAGCCAAATCTCTAGTCATGGACGAATTCCGATCAGAACCGCGGCCGTTTTTGAGGAAGGCGGTAGAGGCAGCCAAGAGTGAATAGCGTTGCCAGGATCCTTCTCCATTAGCGAATAAAGGGACGTTGGTGAGCTATCGGGTCACGCGTTCCTAAACGAGCTGTGAAGTGTGATTTGATATTGGGTCGCGCGATTACACAAGCCCCTGAAACATGGAGCAATATAGGACAACGGTTCCGTCAGGTATTGGGTTATTGGCTCGACTCACCATATATGATCTCCGGATGATCATAAACGACTTCAATGATACTCGATCGATTTTCAGGTGATAGTCCTTGTCGTTGGATACGGTATTACGTTCGCGGACTTCTCTTTATGGAGTGGCACTAACGAAGAGGGCGTGTCAAAGTGGGTATTTTTTTCCTCAGACAACTTAATTTCTCTTTTTCGTGATACATGTCAGAGAACTATGCATTCCCTTCCATTATTTTTGTTTGCTTTAACCCTTTCGGCCCTGGCGGCGGCAATTGCGACCACCCAATCCAGGGGTCTGCATCACCAAAACAGCAACACTTCTAGTATTACTCACTGCTAGACGTTGCATCAGTCCATTGATTTTCCTTGCCCTGTTTTGGGTTTTGTTGTGTTGTTTTTTTGTGGTTTTATTCGTGGTTGCTCGGAATTGAACCTGCCACTTTATTCGTGAAGAGATAAGAGCAATAAGAAGAAAAATTGTTTTCACTGAAAACAATTCGAGGTAGAAAAGGTTGAATTGTGCGATTCATTAGTTATTAGTAATCGAACTTCTTTTTGTCCATCCGAAGAAATTGAAGAAGATCAGGAATCTTCAAACCCATGGAGCATTAAGATTCACAAATTTCACATAAGAAGTTACAGGTTGAGAGAACGCAATGATTGGATTAGAGATTATGTTGGTGTTTCAAAAGTATGAATTTGATTCCTTAATAAGCCTTCTTTTTAACAGAATTCTATGTGATTGTTTTAAGTTTGGGAAACGTAAAATTTCGTTGTAAAGCAACCTTACTGGAGGTGAAAACTGAGGACGAATTTGATTTTACTTGGAATATTTCTTCAGAACCCTTGTATTTTCTGTGACCGATTGTAACAAACCCTTTTATAATATTTGAATGCATTCATTGAAAAGGCTAGTATGTCTTGAATGAAACTTGCAGAAGAACTAAACGTCTGTTTTATCCGAGAAAAGGTGCTCTAACTACGTAAATAGTCAAATTTGGAAACGCAGTTTACGATTAGGGAAGGATCCTTAGAATCAAGCCGAGGTGGTCGAGTGGTGAAGTAAGCCAAACCAGCCCGTTTGCGCTTTTCTGCTGGGGCCGTATGCTGAATGTTCGGGGGAGGGATGGGGTCCCCGACGGTCGACGGATTACTTCAACTCCGTCCCTAAAACCGCCTCAATTTGATGGCTTCGTTCCTCAGGAGTAAGCAAACCAGCCCTTTTCGCGGAAATCCAGTTGTGGACCTTAGACGTGGCACCACTTGCATCACCACTCTCCTTACGCGGTACGAGGGGAGCTCAAGTAATCCATTTGGCCGTCGGGGAGCCTACTTATCCCATCATCATGTTGTCCTTTACTGCCCCAGCAGAAACGCCAAAAGGTCTGGTTTTCTTACCTCGTCAGTGATGCCGGAATGAAGACAAAACCGTGTGAAACCGCCAAAACCCTGGGCAAGAGAACCCCTTCGCTCCACGTTGATTCCGCATTGATGCCACCCTCATCGGTGCTGCCATCTTCAACGGTATCCTCTCTCTCTGACCAAAAGATTAAGAGACTAAGGCAAGTCGAGGGATCTATTGAGCTATGAAGTTGCACAACTTTGATTCCTTTTGATTCGTTCTTCGCATACATAATAAATACAAGAGACACGATACAGCGGACTTACAGAAAGACAGGGATCCAGCAAGAAGGAAAGACAGAATAGTGAAATGATATAGCAATTTTATGCGTCCGATTGTCAGCAACTCCAATGGTGCTGACTTTTAAGTGCAGTTTTTGGAAGTCTTCCTGGGCTGTGTTCAACCCAGAAAAATTTGAAATAGAACAGAACCGATTGCCAATAGTGCCAATGAATGTTTAAGTTTTCAGCTTCTTCCCGTATGGTGTGAACGGTATGTTGGCAGGTGCGGCGTCGTGCTTCTTTGCTTACATCGGGATTCGACGGTCTCGCCACTGCTGGAGAGGAGGCAAAAAGTAAGCAATTTCGGAATAAAAATCGCCTCTGGTTGATTTAAGTTATGCTCAATTGGTAGTAGTCTATCAACATCTGGGTGGGGATGAAATTCCAGATCGAATAACGATCAGGCCAATCAAGCCTCATATCTCTCCTGCGTTGTCTTAGCATAGTTCACGAGGAAGGCCCAGAATGTCGCGAAATTTCCTTAGTAGGCTGAACTTCTAGTTAAAGTGTTTATTATGACTGTACTTGAAATTTTCTCCACTAAATACAGGACATAGATAGGATTGCAGTTCGCTACTCCTCAGCGAAAGCTCTCTAGAATCAACGCTGTGACAAACATTACCGATTTCGGGCCATCATGACCACTTGTGGTGAGCATTACATCAGAATGTTCAAGACAATCACACGTATCCCCACTGTGCACATCACCGGACGAACTACGATCGAGAATTCCTCCCCTGAAGCTATACTTTTTGATGGAAATTGACAGAACGGCTGGTCATACCGTTGCGACTTTTCTGAAATTTTTTACTTTACCAATCAAAAATTTCACCCCCCCCCCTTCACCACCCTCGCCATCATGGTCGCTGTTTCTATAGTATTTAATTCTGAGACCAGTCGACACACCTAACTCCACCCACTTTTCCCCTCCAAAACAGCCGTCGAGCGGGGGCACCGAAACGACAGAATTTTTCTCGCTCCTTCACACTACGCACCCTTCACCCATGAATTCTGTTGTCGCAATATAGGATTGACCCTGGTTGGAGGTCGCATCCATCATGGAGATCGGGCGGGAGGGGTCATGATGTCGAAAAACTTCCTCGACACTTCATCGTGGCATCGACTCAATAGAGCATTTCTGAATGATTCAGTCAACAAAGTTGAAAAGGTAAACTCAGTTGAGTTTACTGATGTGGATATATCGGCTCTTCTGGTATAAGTTATAACGAAGAATTTGAATGAATCTTCTGGACAGCCTATAGTTTGCTACTAACTGCTTCACTGAAAAAAAGAAGAAAACTTGAAACTCAAGCCATGCCTTGTCGTAAATAAACTGATGATGGTTTTGTTGCAGATCCCGCTCGCTCAATCCCAATCGCCACATTTGCTTCGATGTCCGTAGTCACATTGGCCTACATAGCTATGTCTTCGGCGCTGACCCTCATGGTTCCATACTATCAGGTGAGCTTGGCGTTGATCCCTATTTCCAGAATGCTCACGGCTTCGACTCGCATGTAGCTCACATAAATTTTGAAAACCCATTAGTTGCATTTTGGTCGTAAAACATGTGAGGGTCAGAAGTGGTATAGTGGCAAGTGGCGCCACATATCACGAGCGAGGCCCGAGGATCAACTCCTGGGTCGTTCGGGCCAACCAAGCCTTCCATCCCTCCGGGGTCGGTTAATTGGTACCAGACTTGTCTGGGAGGATAAAACACTGACTTGTACATCGGCTGGCCCCCGCAAGTCATTGTATAGGCATCGCATTTTAATTGTCCCAGATTCGAGATGAATTCGATATGCGTGCGCGTCTCAAACGACTGTACCGGCCGATATCATCTTATGAATATACTGAGTGCACATGGTTCTTTACGTATATTATTTTAAGGCATTTCGAAGCAATTTTTTCATGTGGGGTGATCAGAAGTAGCTTCCAGCTCAGCGTGCCTTTCCCCCATTCCTTCATTGTCTATCTAAGAGTGGAGTGCGGCGGCCAATGGGACCCACTGTACTCTCAGTCAGCATATCAATTTCCATCGATCCAGATTAAGCTTCTATCCTCTGTCAGTGTTAAGTTATGTTATGCTAGTAAATCATTTACATAACTCGGCAAGCAGTAAGTCTCACGTGTGTACCCGACTTTGAGAGATTGGAGAGGATCTTAAAGGTGATAACAAGCGGTAATTCGACATCAAGAAATCCAAGAATAGTGTGATTCAGGTTGGCTCCAGCCGGGTTTTTTCGCCGACGCTTTCGCAGTCTCAGGAGCTGTGGGAGATTGGTCTCTGTGGGCGCACTTTGCGGAAATGACGAAAGCTTAAGTGAGTTCTTTCACTACCGCTAAATTTTCATGTTGTTGCTTGAAGCATTTGCTGTTTGGAAACAATTCGCCAGTCTTAATAGTCAGTGATCGGTATATCTCTGTTTTGATCTGTCACATTAAAATGTTCCATAATCACCAATCAATATTTGAAACGAAAAGCCTATAGTTTTTACCATGAACAGATATTTGTATTGTAGGTGGCGCGGTATTTCGGCTGCACGGTGTTGTATTGCATGGCTGAGGACGGTCTTTTTGTTCATTACTAGCTTGTGGTCAACGAATCAGGTATTGCGGCAAGTGTAGCATAGCATAGATGCATTTCAAGGATCTTAATATGATATATTTAAGTCATGTTAGTGAGTCGGAGGGATTCTATGCGTCATTTGAAGTCTGGTGGTTTGGGCTTCAGCGTGTTTATCACCTCTAGCGCACGCTGTGAAGCCTCTCAACCAGGGTCAACCCTATATTGCTACCAGTAGCAACGGGGGGTCGTATTTTGATGACTTTGTAGAGGGGGTCGTACTTGCTTTGATTGCAAGAAGTTGCATGTGATGAGTGGAAGCGGCATGGGTTGCGTTTGCGCGCGTGCCTCCCCCCTCTCCCTCGCTCGACGCGTATATTTTTGGGTGAAGATTGTTTTTGAAGAGGGGTGTTATTGACATTTCTAGGGTGGGGGTCATCATGCTTTTTGAAAAGTGAGTATAGGCGACCGCTGCTACAACAAGTTCGATGACGTCTCGCAAGCGCAGCCTTTCACCATAGTGCACTTTGTCTTTCTATCTTACACACGATGTGTAAAACCCCCAGTCAAATCCATTGGTGATTATAAAATGGCGAATCGCTTAGGTGCCCATCAACGCCGTACTGGTGTTCGGTTCGATAACGGCCTGCATTGCACTGCTGTTCGACATCGAAACTCTGGTCGAATTCCTCTCCATCGGCACGCTGCTTGCATACTCAATCGTCTCAGCTTGTGTGATTATTCTTCGTTACCAACCAGCTCGATACCCGGAGGATGGCAGTTTCGATAACGGTACAGATGACATTGTTTTGGACAGTTTTTCAGTATCGTTCTTGAACACGTTTTGCTCACTGAAGCGTCCCTTGAGATACACAAGTGCTGGTGAAAAAAATCGGCTGAGAAATCAGAGCAAACATTTCGGCCAAACGCTGAAGCAATAATCGCCCCGCACCCACCAGCATTGCAAACTTAACCTTTGAGCACTTTGTTCGGTGGGTCACTGAAGGGGTAGGTGTGGAATTCAAAGCCTTCATTTAACATTGCAAGTATGAGGAGAGCAAGTTTCCTACTTTTCCTTTGTCGATATCTGCTTTCTCTACACTTTCTGCTGCGAGATTTATTATATAACAATTTTTTTCGTTTCCCATATGTCAATTCTTTTTAAAACGCTATGTACGTCTTGGATATGAAAAAAGCACTTTAGAAATATTCAAATTATTCTTTCCAATCAATTTTTAGACCACTTCTATGATAAGGACGGAACAGGGTCAACCGTCACGTTGGACAAATTTCAAAAATTTTACGACAACCCCCCCCCTCCCCTTCTGGAGGGCCTCGATACGACCCTCCCCCAGCTGTTACTATAGTATTTGATTCTGAGGCCAGTTAACACAGCCAACACCACCTAAATTTCCTCCAAAATAGCCGTCGAGTGAGAGGTGGTGAAGAACATTTATCAACACTGAAACGGCAGATTTTTTTCTTAGCACTCACAAAGCGTAAAGCGTCACACTACGACCCCCGTTGGTGTAGGATTGACGCTGCCTCCGACCTTGCGAATACGACCCCCTTTTCGTCGGCCGAATACGACCCCCCTCGTTGGACTTTGTCCAACGGACGGTTTGATCCTGGGACGGAATGACTTTCGTGTGGAAATTCTAGCCCACAGCACTAGCACTCCGTAAATACATAGGAAGGCAATACTAAGTAGCCGCATAAAGAAGGGGGCTTACCAAACCCGTCCCCCCAAATGGGAAAAAAAATCGAAATCGGTCACACAATTCTATTGATTATTCAAATACAGTCTTCCACACCAATAATCAAGTTTTCAAGGCGGAAAAATGAAATTCACATTCCCCGGAAGTGCATATCTGGAGCAATTCGATCCCGGTCATGCGGTCCATTATGGTGTGGTGGTGATGATGATTGGCTTCACTGGATTTGGACTGTGCTTGAGTTCAGGTAATGTTTTTCCGAGGTAACACGTCTTAACTGAATTAAACTATTGCTCAAAACATTCAGGACACTTCCAAGAAATGGCTGGAATGGTGACAGCCTCATTTTTCGGCGCAGTTTCAATATTATCGTTGGTATTCATTATGGCTCACCATCAGAATTCAACTCCACTTGATTTCAAGGTGATCGCTCTACACGATTGTAATCAAGTCTTCTAAATACATCGGTTCACATCTTACTCAATCATTTGAGCTCTGATTGGATCCATAGGAAGACTTGAAGACAGCTGGAAGGCGGGGTGTTTTGGTGAATTCGCCGGCCATCATTGCGGAAGTTCGTGGATAAAACGTCCAAACTACATCTCTAGCGTGCTAAGAGGCCCGCCCATCGGCCTCATCAAAAACGCTCCGCCCTCCAGCCATCGCGCCCGGTGCCTTTAAGTGCGTCGCGCCCTCGACAATTCCCTTTGTAACACATGGAATTTTGCAGGTACCATTAGTACCTCTCGTACCTGCTCTGAGTCTTCTTATCAACGCCCTGATGATGCTCCACCTTGCACCGATAACCTGGCTAAGACTCGCAGTTTGGATGGCTATAGGTACTAGAAGATGAGATATTTATTGGACTAGAACTGCACACCCGTAACGTGGACTGAAAGACGTTGTCTGTTTGCAGGTCTGGGTATCTATTTCATCTACGGCATACGTCATTCTCGGGAGGAACTGCTGCCATCATCACCGGAAGCCCGCTTCTCGAAGAGCAGCACGTATGAATCCGTGGTGTCCGCCACTACTGCTGGCTCGGCAACCTGAAATCGATAACAGAAACATTCCATGGGCAGTCCGATGAAGACCGAAATCTGTCAGAATAGAAAACTTCAAAGCTTTCCTCTGCTTTCTTTCGATCATGTAAATATTCAGTACAAGTACGGTGCTGTCGCTCTGAATTCCTCATTTCTATACAAAGGATCAATCGATGATCAATCAGATGACTCTAGTCACTTGCAATCTTTTTTTAGCAAGCAAAAAATGCACCAGAATCTTTTTTTTGCATAATAGTTCAGGAAGAACATTCAATCGCAGCAATGAAAGTTTTCGGTAAGAAGGTCTCGGGGAGAAACAGCACCGATCATCGGGCTCCAAAACACCGACTGGTCCTACCCACTGCCCAGCACTTTTCCTACTGTCAACAACAATGGTGCAGCCATCCCCACAGGAACGGAAAGCTTGGTTTGCCGACCTCGAAAAGCTGCGAGCAGCAAGCTTCCCTTATGTGGAACTAAACAACAATCACGAAAGACAAACGGGTTCCTGTTGTAAGTAGCGCACTTGCTCGGTAAGTAGGAATTGCGGCTTCAAGTCCCGCCTGAGGCGATTTTGTTCATTACCCAGCATTCAATGGAACAATGGGTTTGTCCAGAGAATAGAAGGTCGCGTTCATTTACACCTGAGTATGAAACAGCTTCCAGCGATTGATAACTTATAACATACAGAACAACTCTACAATCTCAGCGTCCTTGGCCTATTCAAGAGCAATCCCTGATGAAATACGTTTTTGGCTTTGGAGAACACCTCAGGGTTTTTCCGAATTCGTTTAATGGTTTTAGTACAATACAGAGTAGCCGCGCCATCTAAGGGCAAACCGCGCTGATAGCGCCACGGGAAGGGCCGTGCTAAAGCGCCGGGGGATATACTTCGCTGCGAATGTTAGGCCGATGTCAGACTTTGCGAATCGCGCGATTCGCTAGCGTCCGCGGTCGCGTACCAGCCAATTGAGTGATTCACTGGCCGCGACGCGACCGCAGACGCTAGCGAATCGCGCGATTCGCAAAGTCTGACATCGGCCTTAGGTCCGCATCTTTAGGAGATCCTTTCATTAAGTAAGTTCCCCTTCGACTTCCACCTAATCGTGGAACTTTGAATGGCGAGGTGGACCTCGGGTTTCTTACGCGGAAACTTTTCAAACGCTGCCATTGAAAGTTGTAGCGAGCAATTTTTCAAATTTGTTGTTGTTTTGACACCTTTTTTCACATCTTGGTCGTGGCTGTGCATATCTTTTCTGTAACAATAAACTCCTTCGTTCACTAGGACAGCAGGACACGACAACAGACAACATGCCAACTGAATCTATGAAACATTTATGGAACTTTCCTATAAATATACGTGGACATCAAATATGTGAAAAAACAAAGGCAAACATGACGACATATAGTGGACGATTTGAGGAATAGAACAACATGGCAAGGTCAGGGATCGGAATAGATGGAGGCAAAAGATGGAGGAACGGGGAGGAGAGAGATGAAATAGAACCAGCGGCAAGAGTTCATATCGGATTGATCATTAATCGCTGTAACCGCGCATATCTTAGGCAAGATTTGGGATGGTCACATGGAAAGGAAAAGGCAAGAATTAGCAAGATTCTGAACCACACTGAAGCAGAACACACTTTGACACAAAGAAATCAACAGGGCTACAAAACTTCTAAGAGAAAAGACACACCAACATTTCCTTGGATTAACTGTAAAGGCAAATAACTGCAAATGCAACAAGGAGCGATGTCCCATCATCGACGATTTGAAAGGGATAGGGATATCTAACAGCGATACATTCTAACCGGCAATGGTGTATGTTTTACAAAATACGCCACATGCGTAAGCTAAAGAAACCCGCAGTAGCCTCTTCTGACATTTTAAACTAAGATGGAAACTAAAAGTAGCACATGTATTGACTACTGCCCTTATGGTGGTTCTTCGCATCCACAAAACAAAATACACAGCGGCGTCAAACAGAAGGCGCTACCACGACAAACTCAAATGAAAAATTCAGAATTTGTAGCGATGGTAGGCGTGCCAATGAGCAACAAAGCGTAACCGAAAATGTGGCACCATTCGTAGCGGCACGTCCTCATCGAACAAAACGCAGTACGTGACGATAACGGACGCACGGTACGAAGGACGAGGGACCAATTGTGAAACGAATATGCGAGAACCGAACCACTACAGACAGCATCCATGTACGCAGACCACACAAACATTCCCACCTAAATCAACACAGACATCTTTTCTGACAGTCTGAAATATTTCACAACATGAAGCTTTGTATAAAATTTTAACAAGAAGCTGGATGTTCTGGGACCGGATGGATGTTCTGGGCAGCAGTACCCGGCAGGAGACGGGTTCCCAAATTCTGCGTTTCTACTCTGGTCCATGGCGCAGTCTCCATGGTCAAGAAAAGGGGATGCCCAGAGATGCAGAGTTGCGGGGACCCACCCCCAGCCGGGAACTGTTGTACACGGCCCCTGTAGTATATGCATCTAGCAAATTCACCCTTAACGTCTACTCATTTTTAAGCGGTGCCGCAGTGTTCATTGGGATTCACAAAAATTGATAACAATCGTCACAGCTACGCTGCTTCGCCGGGGATGAGGATGAGATTACTTCTTGAGAATAATCGCAATCACAAACAAATACCACGAATGCTTACGGTAACCATCGCATCACTTTAGGCGCTTGTTGCACCAAACCATCAATGGTAATGGAACAGAAATGAGGTGTTGGTGCTACCGGCTACATCAGAGTTCACAGCTCCCCCCTGACACCGTCAGAAGCCTCATATGTTGAATTCTACTAGTTAGCTTATCTAGAATATGGGTAACTATTCTCAGTCAGTAGAATAGGTACTTGAATTGAAACCCAATTACCCTATTTTCCGGTGTATAAGCCCCCGCTAGTATCATGTAAAAACACCTCCACTGGTGCAGTGTACTTGAGTACATCTAGAGTCAACCGTAACATGCCCATAGGGGTAATTCGATATGCTGATCACGAAAACGACATTCGTTTTCAGCAGGATGCAGGGATCTGGCCGAGGTGGCACGCCCACTTGTCACGACCCTTGTTTTCGCCAAAATCGGTGTAAACTTCAGTATAGGGGTTATTTGGGACCCTGATTACGAATATGACATTCGTTTTTGGCGTTAACGTTGTTTAGTGCACATGTCTCGGTTGGAGAGCGCAGACGAGCAGAAAATAGGCGTCAAACAGCGCCAGCGCCTATAATGAATGTCATATTCGTAATCAGGGTCCCAAATAACCCCTATACTGAAGTTTACACCGATTTTGACGAAAACAAGGGTCGTGACAAGGTGGCGCCAACTGGCGCCAGATGGCGCCAGCGCTGAAAATGAAAGTCATTTTCGTGATCAGGGCATCGACTTACCTCTATAGGCAAATTTGCGGTGGTTTCTAAGGTGTACAAAGTTACACTGCACGAGCGGGGGTGGTTTTACGTGAAATCGGCGCGGGCTTATACACCGGAAATTAGGGTATACTTTCAAGTCTTTAGGAAGGACCAACTTCATCTAGAAACTCAAGCCTAACAAAGGGTCACCACAAAAGCGTGAGAAGCATGGAAACGTTATAATAAATGAGAACAAAATCCATAGAGTGGTAGGGGGTGGGAAATGGAAGGGGGCAATGGGTCGTATCGAAACCCTCCCCAAGTGGAGGTCGTCAAATTTTTGGATTTGAAACAAGAAGTGGCTGAGAGCCTGCCTCAGTATCTATATAAAACAGGTAGTCATATCAACATCAACGTACGGGGTAGGTTAATTTTTTAACTTGGCTAAAAATCTGTATGAGTATGCAGTAAGCCCACCAGATGCATCATGTGCGCTAAATCGCAAAAATAACTTACGTACCTGATACAGCAAAGGATAGCTTTACACGGCTGCCTTGGGATAGGGATGGCTTCTTTCATTCTTGAGTTGCACCTTCAGCCGCTTCGACCCTATTTGGAACCCATTCATAGCGGCGATAGCATTTTGTGCAGATACTGCGTTGTCATACGAAACAAAACCTGGAAAGAAAATCTCACGGTTTCTAACTACATGGCAAAGAAGGTCCTAAAAAGCTGTACTCACAAAACATTTAGACAGAGTTCGTGATCCTTGTCGATGAAAACCTTGCGAGGAACACGGAGTGCAAAGGGAGGGGGAATATTGTATCTGCAAATCGGTGTTACTCCAATAGTCCGTGTAATAATAACATCAAATGTGTTTCTAAAAGAATGTCACAATTAGTTGTTAAGAATACTCTTTGATACTGAGTGTAATGTTCATTATGAAGAGGGTGTGATCGCCTCAGGTCATTCAATCACGCTTCCAGCACCCCGACACGGGAAACTGCGCCGCTTGGCGTCATGGGGGATTGCAAGGATTCACTGACAAAACCTTTCGTTATCGCGTTATGTTTTACCCGTAGAGAGCACAGAGAGAACATTAGTGCTTAAAAAATCACGTACATTAAATGGCAACTGTCTCGAACGTCTCCGTCACTAACTCTGTAGTAGGCAGAGGCATAATGCATGACTAAATGGCTCATAGACGTCAGAGAGGATAACCGTGATGGAATTACCGGATGAGGTGGCGGGACATCCAATCAGGAAGTCGTTATGTTCCATGACATAGTTGCGCACAGTGACCATTCAAACTGATGTATTTCTGAGACCCATATGCAGTAGGAGGGCAGAAGTAGATCGATTCCTCCATGATTTCCTGCGAGGCTTTCGACGGCGCAAGCAATGGAAATTACTCAAATTCAAGATGAACCCTTCTTCACTTCAATGGGATTAGAATTGAGTAATAGAAGTGTAATAGACACAGTACTAACGCTCGATCCATGGCCATGCGCTGCGCGACTCCGGTGCCGTCGTCCCTCGCCCTACCGTGGCGATCCGATGTGGCGGAAGTCCTGACCACCTCCTCCCCCGAAGGTACCGTAACAAAAATCTTGAGACTTCATTCCACACAAGAAAACAAATTTCTCTTTGCCTAGTCAGATTAATGACGGATCTGTCTGTTCAGAGCAACGTTTGGCCACATCAATGTAAAATAAAAATAAAACGCACGAGTATATTGCTGCATTGCTTGTTGATAGGGATCCATACCAGCTCCGGTAGCTCCACCACCAAAGCCAGCAGTACCAGCCGATGATAGTGCAGTACCAACTGGGGATGCAGCTTTTGCAGCAACAACTTGAACACCATTTGTTGGTGCATTCTGGTAAACCGAGGAAAGTTGAGCGGCAAACGGTTGGGACATGGTTGGCGCCGTCACGGCTCCGGTAGCGTAACCGAACGCAGCCAAATCACCTGAAAAATGACTTTTGACTATTCAGGAGGAAGCCAAGCAACTTGGATGATGAAAAGAACAAAGAAAAAAAATACAAATCTTATCATACGGCATTTTCATGGTAACGTTTTCATATTTTTTGTTTTTATATTCTTGCATTATTCCGCAGCACCCCACACGCGTCGGGAATTACGGCGAATCGTTTATATTGGAGTGAGGTCAATTAAGGTCATGATAATCCGGGGGAATTATGAATGTTTATGACCGAGAACATTCGCCGACTTCAGTTTTGAACGAACAAGGATATCTTGAATGTTGCAGAAAACCATTTTCGAAAAATAGAAAACGAGGAGTCAAGCAAAACAGTGGCTATATCGGCTATATTGAATAGGGTCATTCTAACAAAACTAACTATACCATTTGAAAATAAACCCCCACCAAAATACCATTACAGGAAAATGTCTTCATTTGTCTAGCTCACACTCTGCCCCTTCGCCCTCCTCATTCCTTTCACCAGAGTACCGTACTATTTTTTTGCCTTGCTTTCGATCACTTTAAGGGCCATCCATCCACAAGATACCATCCAGTTCCCCCAAAATTAACGCCCCGCTTCATTTCTGCAACACCATGCCTTACGGAAAAAATACCA